AATATCTCATCAAGATCACAAATTCCACAGAACTCAAATTCAATTCCTCATATATCCCCAGGACTTTCTTCTGACCCATTATATCAAGTATAAAGCCAGGAACTTCACCCTAGCTGGAACTTCTTTTTCAACTTCAGCTCTAATACCCAGTAAGCTCTGAGATTTGTGCTGAATTTTCACATCTTTATCTTTCAATTTTACTACACTTTTTGAAGAAATTCAACCTGGCCACACTCCACTTACGATCACCAGTCCTAGATACAAATCTAACAGATTGAACCCATGTCCCACCTCCTGGTTCACAGCTTCCTGGTCATCCATTTCTCTCCCACTAGAGTCATTCCTGGTTTCTCCTTTCTGTGTATCCAGGTTCTTCCTTGGCATTTTGGGCAAAACCATTAGGGAGATGAGCCAGTTTTCTTTTTCACTCCATTCTCCTTACCCCTTTCAGCTTTGGCTGCCTCCATGACACAGACTGACCAGCAAGACATGAGCAGAAATCTGCTATGAAATTCCTGTGGAAAATCATGTTTTCTTGACCCTTTATCCTTCTGGCTCCTACAGACATAGAAGTGATGACCAGGGAGCCTTCTGGCCAACATGAATGAATGGCCAGAAGAATATTGCAATGGGCATCCTTGAAGTATATGATTATAAAATAACACCACTGAATGCCTTCTCCAAACTTATGTAAGAAAAACTCATTATTATGGTTTAGATCCAGAACGACCCCCAAACCCAGCACATGCTCAGCCATGGGGTTTCTGGAAGGTGAGTGGACCACAAGGTCCTATGGCTGGATGTGGTTTTAGGGGTGGGGCCTGGTTGGAAGAAGCAGGTCATGGGGTGGGACCCGGAAGGGTGGATCTCCCTTCTGGGCTCCTCCTTTCTCTCTCTGCTCCCTGGACACCACGATGTGCATAGTTTTCTCCTGCCAGAGCCTGGCACCATGTTGCTTCTGCTTTGGAGCCAGCTGACTATGGATGGAAACCATGAGCTGAAATAAACCTTTCCTCCTTTCAGTTGGGGGTGTCCAGCATCCTGTCCACTGATAAGGAAAGTGCCTGAGACACTCACCTCCTACCTCCCATAGAAAAGTATAGCTTCCTTCCATATTTTGAGGAAATATTTGAGATTCTTTCCTTGGCTAGCTTAGCTCTTCCTTACTGCTGAACACTGGACTCTGTTTCTACCCCTTCTACTAGCACCTCTTCCAGGAGTACCTGGTGCTCCAGGCCGAGCCAGTCTAGCCTCTTTGCTGACCTTGTCATCTTCCTTAGAGGCATGACCTTAAGGGCCTTGTCCTGGATAACCGATGTATTTGGTCTCTGTACATTCACTCCCTCCCAATTCTATTCTGTAATGACACTATGACAAAATAGGTTTAGTAAAGAACATTTGATGGTGCACATCAGATGATGTAAAACACATCATCACCATAGGCTGGTGGTAATGCACAGGGAATGACGTGCTTAAAATTCTTCATCAGCTCCCTACTGCCCACCACACTAGAAATCTAAAATGCCCCTTGATATCACTTCAATAAAAAATTTAGCCTCATATAATTTTTCAATATTTAATTTATCTCCTTGGCAAATGGAATGTTATTGTTCTTCAGCTGAATCACACTATTTTCTACTTGTATAATGTTGTTTGTAGTATTGCCTTTCCCTGGAATCTGTGCTTTGACTTCAGAAGATTACCCATTGTCACATCCCACTTCAAGGGTCACCTCTTCCAAGCTCTCCAGTGGAGATCTTTCAAATGGAGGAAATTACACTTTTCCTGTCTCCCTTGGTATAGCTATTTACAGCACATAAAACACAACCACATAGTTTTCTTACTGAGGCACCCATGTGCTTCTTGTGGGCAATGGTGATATAATAATAGTTATACATCTATTTCATAAATATTCATCAAGTTCCTCCTGGTCTAGGTGCAGATGGTAAGAACAAACAGGCCGTGTCCTTTTGATGGAGCATGTGTTCCAAGAGGGCAGGGGCAAGTCTTTCCAGATAATGAACAAGCAAATGAGTGAACAAAATAGGCTCATCTCAGATCAGGTTGAGGACAGAGGCAGTTCTCCCTAGGAGGTGATATGTGAGTTGCAGTCTCAGTGAGAAGATGAATCAATGCTGAGAAGACCAGAAGAGCACACCTGAAAGCTGTCAAGTTGGGCCTGAGTGTGGTGTGGCTGGAGCAAGGGGGTAGGGGGTGTGGGGAGCAGAAGTGGCAGAGGAGACAGGGTTGACCTTGAAGGTCCACAGAGGCCAAGCACAGTGGCTTAGATTTCACACTATGGTTTTAAACAGAGAGGAACATGATCTAATTTACAATGTAAAATGATCTCTCCAGCCGCTGTGGAGAAAATGCATTGCACAGGGTCAAGGATGGAAACAGGAAGCTGAATTGGAAGACGCCTGTAGAAAGCAGGGTCTGAGGTAACAGTAGGTTGAATTTGGTGATCGTAGAGGAGAAAGAGAAGGAAGTGGAGACAGTTATATCTATAGTATTTCACACAGTATCTTGAACATGATAATGTTGAAATATATTCTTCAGTGTATGTCTGGGTACATCGAAATAGTTTTTTATTTTTAAATTCTATGTTCTCTTTCAGTTTTTCCTGCTTTGATCACATATTATAACAACAAATTCTTCTTTGACATGTGAAGAATCAAAGGGAAAAAAAAAAGAATACTTCATATTTAAGGAAATAGAATGAGTCCCATGGTGGAAGGTTGGCTAACAAAGGAAAGAAATGATGGAGTTTGGAAGGTCATAAAGTTAATTATGAGAAGGAATAAATCATGTGAAACAAATGGCCAGAGTGGAATGTACAATCTATGATGCTTATGTTTGATTTTCGTTTATTCATTCATCTGTTCACAGCCTGTTTTTAGAAATAAAGACCTTTTTGGAAGAAAATATACAATAGAATGAAAATAGAGTATTCAGATTAAAAGATCTATACTTTAAAAGAAAGACAGCCAACATCAGCTGGAATAGAGTACCTAAAAGGAGGCTATGATATTTCATTTTCATTAAAATCCAAGGCTTATTTAGTTCTAACTTACTTCTGCTTTTCTGGAAATATGTAATCTTTATTTAAGTGTTATTATATGATACATTTCCTAATAAGCAAGTGAATACTGTTTTCTCTGAATGTTTATAGAATTCTAAGAGCACTGAGAACTCTAAATGAGGAATCTGAGAACAGATGAATAGTAAGGTTCTCTTTCTCTTTCACATACACCTTCCAGGACATTTACCTGGCAAGATCATCCTGCATCAGGAATTCAGTCTGAATTCCTTCAATACAAAGTAAAATCCAGGAGAAAGCAGAATCCATTTTTGCCACTTTCCCCCTGAAATGCTAATTGGCCCTGAATCGCGTGTAACTTGGCCCCAGTCAGTGTGAAAACGGGCTAAAATCTGTTTGAAGGGAAGTCTGGGTTTGTCAAAGTATTTCATGAACTTTTGGCCAAACTTCAAGTAACCTGGCCCAAGTCTCCGTTTGTAATGCAACATGAAACCAGGTGAATTTCAGATGGTTTCAGGTTTCCTCCTGAAAATTTGGCCTTGCTTTACAATCAATCATCACTTTTCATAACGATGAAAGCCAACACACCTTTTTGAAAATGAGGGCTGTGTGAGGACTGATGACAGCTAAGCTGTGAACCACCCCTTCACTCCTTTTGCCTAAAGAAGATTTCTCAGAAGGGAAACGGTCTTCCTCTTACCTGGAAAGGGCAAGTTGAGTGATTTTGATATTGCGTGTAGGAAGAAATGCTACTCAGTGAGTGGAGACATGCCGTGTGAAATGATCACCACCTACAGAGAAGTGGCTGCAGTCTCATCATTTAAGGGTTTGAATTTTATTCCCTCCCCATCCCTGACAGCAGAGAGCATGATAGTAAGATGGGCATTCAGCTTCATGCTAGTCATCAGCTAGAATAATTGCCTTGAGAAACTGAATGCTGAGGTGTAATCCTCATTTCTATATGAAGAATAGGAAGAAAAGAAATACAGAATAACTTTTAACTGGCCTAGGAAACATGAGATAAGGCAAAGACCCTTCCAAGTGTGCATCCACTGAATCTTTTGCAAACGTAAAAGAAAAGCTCTATGTGGTACAAATAAATTCAATAATTAAGCAGGGTGCATTTTACATAAAGACCTACATAGTTTCTGTTCTAACCTGAGAGTTTTAAATGTGCTTTTCCACTGTAAAAAATTACTCCCTTCAACCAATTACTCGCTGTTGTGCATACTGACATGAGAAAATTGAAAGGTATGTCTGAACAGAGCCACTACATCATTGGAACAGTATGTCTGAACATTTGGGTAATAAGGCACAGATGTGAAGCAGCAGACTTGGCACTACCAAGGTAACAACAAAGCATTCATTATTGGTTGTAATGGTTTAAAGGGCCACGTTGGAGAAGAATAAAAGAATGCCCCTTCTCCCACAGTGCTGAGTCATGTTACACCTTTTGTCTGTTTAAAAATATACAAAAAAACAAGAAATTCAAATAAGTATTATTAACTTATGATAAAGAACAATATAAGGAATGCATTACTACTTTTATCTATAATAAAACATACTTATGCAATAGCACGTAAAGTTCAACTGGAGAAAACTGCTAGGTCCAAGAGAACTCCACATGGCTTTAATGTTAGAAAATGATGCATATGAATCTAAAGGACCCAGTCGTGATTAGAAAGTGGGTATTGATGACTTTTAGAGGAGATCCTGGCCCTTGGTCAGTTGGTCTAATTATTGTAGGATGCTCTATTTGTATGCATCAAGTTAAGATAAAGCACGAAATATATGCACTAGTTATTACTGAGCTTTTTCCACTTACAAGAGCCATGGTATTTTAATCAACCATTACTAAATCATGCAGCACAGGGGCAGTTATGATGCTGGAGTGCTTTCATTTAATAAGTTCAGTGCTAGAAACTAATTTTCTGCCCAAGACAGGAAAAGTACAACTTACCCGAGGTCCCTGGTCACCTTGCTCTCCCTGTAACACACGAAGAAAAGATAATAGCTTTAGCCCAAATCTACATGTGATGCTTATTTAAAAAGTCAAAATATAACAGATCTAGGTTATTTCAATATGGGTTTCTAATAATTTCAGGAGTTTCTGCCATGCATTTTCCTACCTTATCACCTTTTGGACCAGGAGGGCCCTGGAGAAAACAAACAAACAAACAAACAAACAGAGAAAAAATATTTAATTAATAATGTTGCAGCTTGAATAGATCCACAAGGTCAATTGAAAAATTTATCCTGAAGGCATAGATTACTTAACAAAACTTGGTTTCCAAATTATAACATTATTAGAATCTAAAAATGGCAATATATGTACATGTCTACAGACACAGTGCACCTGTATATTTTGTCACAGGTATATAATATGCTGAATAGATTTTCACCAGCTGAACATACCTGTGTGAGTACAACACAGTTAAAGAATCAGAGTGCTACCAGCAAGTCAGAAGCTCCTGTTTTAATATGTCTTTGTCACTACCCTCCACCAACAAGAACTACTACTCTCACCTCTGACATTCAGGATTGTTTTTTGTTTTGTTTTGGTTTTTTGCCGGTACCGGGAATTGAACTCACAACCTCGTTCTTTCCAGGTGGGCACTGTGCCACTAAGCTAAATCCCCAGCTTCAAGGATTGGTTTATTTACTTTTCTGCTCCATATAAATAATATCATACAGTATACATCTGGCCCCTTTTGCTCACTAGGTGTAGAATTTATCCACAGTTTTATGTATAGTTTATGGCTCTTACTGTTTTATAATATTCCATTGCATGAATATGCTATAATTTATTTATTCACCTCATTTTTGAATGGCCATCTATTTCTAGAAGTTTCTAGAATTTTGGCTGTCAGTGATGCAATAAAAATCCTAGTACATGTCTTTTGGAGAAAAACTGCATGTGTATCTGCTGTGTGTATATGTAGGAGTGAAACTGCTAGGGAATCAAGTATGCATATGGTTTAGTAGATATTGATAAATAATTTTCCAAAGTGGTTCCTACAATTCACACCCTCATCTATAATGTATGATAAATGATCATCAATACTTGGCATTTTCCTTTTTTATTTTATGTGTTCTGGTGGGGGTGTAGCAAATGCACATTTTTAGTCTAGTTTTTCAGTGGTTATTAGGCTGAAACCCCTTTCATACACTTATTGGCCTCTTGCATCTCCTTTCATAAATCATCCACATCTTTTGCTTTTGTTGTATTGAGTTGTCCTACTTATTTGCTAGAGTTTCTTATACTTGTGTGCCACACACATGCATGCACCTAGATGGACATAAGGCTGTTTTCACATTCTGAAAGCATGTGCGATGCACTGTATTTATGGCAAATGTATTTCCCTGCTCTGTGTAATGCCTTTGCATTGTCTTGAGGTGTTTGTAGTAAACAGGTTCTTGATTTTAATTAAACTCAATACATTTTTTTTCTCTTTCTGGTATCCTTTTTTGGGTTCCACTGAAATGTTTGCCTGTCCCAACATCATAATCAACATGTTCTATGTTTACTCTAAAAGCTAAAAGCTTTATTATTTTACCTTTCATATTTTGATCTGAATTAATTGAGAACTGGATTTGTGTTATTATGTGAGGTAAAAGTCAACATGCTTTTTCCTCTCAATGAATATCAAATTAACTAAGTACCATGTATCTTTTCCCCGTTATGATACTGTAATAGCTTGGTCATAAATCAGGTGGTCTGATCTTTGACGAAGAGGCCAAACACATTCACTGGAAGAAAAATAGCCTCTTTAATAAATGGTCCTGGAAAAACTGACTTTCCGCATGCCGAAGACTAAAACTAGAGCCATGTCTATCATCATGCACTAAAATAAAATCAAAGTGGAGTGAAGATCTAAATATTAAAAACAGAAACACTAAATCTGCTGGAAGACAGAATAGGTAGAACTCTGGAAGACATAGGTATAGGCAAAGACTTCATGAACAAAACCTCAACTGCACAGAAGATACTACAAAGAATCAACAACTGGGATCTCATCCTATTAAAAAGCTTTTATATAGCAAAAGACATCAAGAGAGAGAGAAGACAATCCACGGAGTGGGCAAAATTTATGCCAGATGTTCTTCAGACAAGGAACTAATATCTAGAACATATAAAGAACTGAAAAAAAATCAGACCCTGCAAATTTAAAGACCCTATCCAAAAATGGGTATCTGAGATGAATAGACATTTCTCAGAAGTACAAATGGCCAATAAATATATGAAAAAATGCTCAACATCACTGGCAATTTGAGAAATGCAAATGCAAACAATGGTGAGATTCCATCTCACCCCGGAAAGAATGGCTGTTAACAACAAATCAACCAATAACAAATGCTGGTGGGGCTGTGGGGAAAAAGAAACACTTCTCTACTATTAGTGGGAGTGTAGACAGGGGTAACCACTGTGGAAATCAGTGTGGAGAGTCCTAAAAAAAATTAGAATTAGCAGTCTCATCTGACCCAGCTATTCCCCTTCTTGGTATCTTCCTAGAAGAATTAAAAGCATCATATCACAGTGATATATGCATACCCATGCTTATAGTGGTACAGTTTGTAATAGCTAACTCTTGGAAGCAATCCAAATGCCCATCAACCAATGGATGGATAAAAAAGATGTGTTTTTATATATAATGGAGTATTACTCAGCCATAAAGATCAAATTGAGACATTTATTGTTAAATAGGTGGACCTCAAGACCACAATCATAAGTAAAATAAATCAGACACACATGGGTAAACATCACACTATCTTTCTGGTATGAGAAACTGAAAATGTAAATAAGGACATAAATGTAAAATAGATATTGTGAAATAGGAAGAAACTGTTAAAAAAAAAAGGAAAGGGAAATAAGGATGGGAGGGGAAAGGGAGAAAGGGAACAAAAAAATGAGAAAAGAAGGATAAAATAAAAACTAAGCTTTGTGAATGGGGAGGGGAAGGGGGTTTGAAAGGAACACCATGTACAAATACAAATTCCCTATAATGAATGTGGTCATTATGTATATCTGAATTCTACCAATAAATTTAAATTTAAAAAATCAGGTGGCCATGTGTGTGTGCCTTTTTTTAAAAAAGGAATTTCTATTTTGTTGGGCATCTACCTATTCTTTCAAGTACACTGGCATTTTCTTCACCTTTAAGAAAAATACTAGCAAGAACAACTAATTCCAGGGGCATCAACTACACTGTCTTTCCTAGTTCTTAAATATGAAGTCATGTTTTGTGGTTTAGTCCTATCTAAAAAAATTGGAGCATTTCTAAGTCAGCCTTAATCTCTCAGCTCCATTTGCAGCAGGGCTGGGAGAAGAGGAAAAGTCCAATTGGCAGTAAAGCCAAGGTTCTAATAAACCAGCCCCCGTCTTAGGTCCCAGAGGAGACTGTGCTATCCCTGCAGCAACATTCCCTCTACTGAAAGCCTTCTGTCTCAGCCACAGAGGAACTGCACTAAATTCCCACCCTCAGGGCTGGCTTTTCCAGTATGCATTGTGATGTGATCATGAAGTTAATAGTCACAGCGACATGTCTTATATTTTGTGTATTTTACCACTGACAAAGAATTGCACCTGTTACTGCACCTAATCTTCCCTGTGGTGCCAGGGGAAAGTGTTATGATCATCCTCTAATGGAGGCCAGAAGTGAACCTTAAATCTTAACTATTGGAGGTCTTTTGGGAGTGCAATGGCCAGGATTTGAACCCAGTCTGTGGGACTTTAAATGCCAAGGTTTTGGTACTATGAGTTGGGACACAGATCTGGGAGAAGACTGTCAGAATTAGGCCCATATATCTGGTTCCTGCCCTCAACATGCCTTCTGAAATGCCACAGATTTCAGTGTCACAGACACCTGACCCAAGTGCTCAGGTTTCAAATGAGAGAAAGAGAGAGGGAAGGGAGCAGGGTGAACCTCGATCACACGCCTCTCTCTGACCCCCAAGTCATTTACCATTGTGCTACCTTGGTCATAAATCAGGCAGCCTCCCCCAAAAGGGGAGCTAAGAAAATTATGTTTTCAGGAAAGTTTTAATTTCTTTGTTAATGTTATCAGCAAATCAAATAGGAATAAGAACAGTCTGTGAACATACCTCTGTAAAATTGAGCTAAGGGTTTTCTTTGGTTATCATAGCACAGACAAAAGCTTACTGGTGCAACCCAAGCAGGGTTTAATTTTTTGTAGGGCAAAGGAAAGCCAAGGAAAAGAATTAATGAGATGATAGCTACCACTAAAGTTTTAAGCAACACAATGGAGATTCTAGGCTGGATTTAAATAGCATGCTATTGAACTCTATTTTTTTTTTTATAAATGTCTGTCTCTAAAGAGTGTGCCACTGTCCTGAGCACTGGTAGAGGATATGGTAGAGAGGTTGAATACACAGATCTATACTCTGTCCTTAAAAAGCTAAATGATCCAGTGCTAAGGTCAAAGACTTTACTAGCATTAAGAAAAAAGGATTCCTAGAAAATCCAGCTACTTTTTAAGCCAGCTGTTCCTGTTGACCCCTCTTCAGCATTTACACCCCTTTTTCCCCCAAAAGGTTTTCTCAATAGTTTTTTCTGCTTTTGCTGGTGAGACCTGAGGCCACGGCCTCTCTGGTGCTCTGTTAGGTACCATGGCATGCTGGAGGTCATAGTCTTTCTGAAATCTTTCCTCCATGCAGAACAGTGACGACTCATTCTCAAAGTCCAGTTACCAAGGTAGAAGCCACATTTGTCAACTGGAGGTCGTCGGCCAAGCTCTCATGGACACAAGAGAATCTGCACTCCCAACTGAGCAGTAAAGATTGCTGCTCCCAGCGTGGATTTTTCTGAGCAGACAGCATGGCGTCCTGGCACCTGCCAGCCCAAGACGGATGCAGAGCCCAGTGTGACCTCTGCTCACAGCTGTGTGCCCTGGGATTAACAGCAGGAGTTTTGTTCTGCACTCCCTGAAATCCTGCTCTTCTTTCTGAATTGGACCTCTTACTGCAAATAGGGGTTTGCTTTGAAGAACAAAGTGGGCTACCTTGGAAGACAGTATTACAAAATCTGGGAAATCTGGAAGCCATGGTTCATTTCTAAGTCATAATACTAACAAATGAAAGAAAATTTCTTTGATGATTAACCTTTAAAATTAAGTTTGGGTCCAAATTTTAATTTTCT